GGACCTCTCCTGGCTGCACCACCCCTGTTATCCCACATGTTACAGCTTTTATTTTTACATCTGTGAAACACCAACCCTTGGGGCTGGGAAAACAACGGGGGCCGAGCCTAGGCAGGGAGGGGAGGCTGTGCAGGTCAGGGGGGTTGCGGCGGGGTCATGGCACAGTGGCGATTGAATGAACCCATTTAAAAATAAGAGCAAGAGATTTAAAAAAAAACAGGAGTAGCCAGCTCTGATTACAGAGCCGTCCTTGCATCCACGGTTTGGGCAGCTGTATCCTCTGCTCTCCAGCCCAGCGGCACAGCCAGCTCCTGCTGAGCAGCAACGCACTGATCCGGGCAAGTAAATAGAGCAGGATAAAAAAAGCAGCATCAGTCCTGGCCTTATTATGAGACCCAAGAGCTGGGATAGGAGCTGTGGTGGCTGCCAATTTCCACAACCCAGAATTAAATTGTTTCTGATGGACTCCACAAAGTACAGTCTCCACTCAATCAGCTCGGCTCCCACCGAACAAGGCTCTGTGCAGTCAGGCAGGGAGACACGCTGAGCGCTGGAGGCTGCTGAGAGAGAAGATGAGTGCCCTCGTGCAGAAATTACAGGGGGTTTATAGGCACTTATGGTAGGCTCCTGGGCAGAAGGGAGGAAGATCCCTACAATGCCAGGTAGGCATTGAGCAGAGCACAGGTCAAAATCACTGCTACGAGCAAGCCATGGGGAAGGGCTCATCCCTTCCCTTGCCTTGTTTCAAGTTAGAAAAGATGCTGAAGATCCTGCACTGCTTGCTGTTGTTTGGGGCACTTCTTCCTGATGGATGTGCTGGCCAAACCCAGCTGCTGCTGGGTCCAGCACCATTTTTGACACCTTTTTGGCAGCTCATGACCCTCCCTGAGGTTGGGATCAGCTTGGGCAGCATAGCAAAAATCCTCCTCTGGGCTGTGGTACGGTTACACACTGCAGGGAGCCCAGTCCAACATGTATCTGACACCCGTCCTCGCCACCATGACAGCGCTACCCAATGACATCAGCCCGGCATAAAGCAGATGTTTTCTCATTAACAGATTTGACTCACAAGTGGTCTCAAATCCCCAGGTTTTGCTGCAATCCCCGGAGAACCGTGAGGAGCCTGGAAATAAATCAGCCCCAGCCAACCAGGGGAGGCTTTGCTCTCACCGACAGATTGAATCCCCGAGTGACTGAGCCCCTGAAAAATGGTACGTCGCTCTTCCTTCATCTGTTACAAGGCTCCTGGCATGGCAATCCAGGCGCTCCTCCAGACACATGCATTACCAGTTGCTTCCCATCTCCCTCCTCCTCCAAGAGGCTGATGTCCTGACTAGCAGCATGCAGAGAAGATGGAAGATGCAGGCTTGGCGCAACCATGGGTTAAACCTGTGGGCAGCTCGTTTTGGCTGACTGAACTGCAGCCTTGTCCCTGAAACACCAGCTTTATCACTGGGAGCTGAGATGTGTGCAGGGATACCGGTGACTGCTCAGTGCCCTGACCAGACGGTCTCGCCACACCATCTGTCAGAGCGATGGCCCAGCCCTTGACACCGGCACGGGCCCCTGCGTGGCTGGGCTTCACAGCTGCCAACTCTCAGCTCTGTCCTCTCCCCCATGAGGGACTGCGACATCCGAGGACACGGGCGGGATGGGGCTGATTTTTCCATCTGCTCTAATACTGGTGGCAGCAAAAAATCCTCCTCCCAGAGAAAGCTCTTTCCACTCAGTAGCCAGCTGCCCTTTCTGAGGGGCACTGACGTGGCTTTAAACTACCCATCCTCTGCATTTAGCAGTAGGAACAACGGTGGGAATTTGAACTGCTCAGGATTTTGGGGAGCTGGGAGTCCACCCCACGGTGAGTGTGGTCAGGGACCAGAGACCGCAGAGAGTACCACTGATGTCTCTTATGCCCACAGCGCCACGGTCCTTCGTTACGTACTGGAGGTCTTACAGATACACCGCTGTGAGCACATCCTGGGTCAGATCGGAAAGTGGCCCTAAAGACGGGAGGGGAGCCTCTGTTCTTCTGGCCGATGGCTTTGGATAAGTCTGAAACTCTATTTACAAACCAAACAACAGCTCATCAAATGGTCAACTGCATAAGCTCATCCCAGGATCAAGACAGATTTCTGCTTCTTTTGATTCATGCACCGCTTCCAATAATGAGAGCACCCCATCACGCGCGGCAGTACCATCCTGCCAGGGAATGCCAGCAGACGGGAACACTGCTTGCTGTCCAGACTCAGGCTGCCCTGCACGGCTGACGGGCTCAGCTGCAAACTGGGTTTTCCCTATTGTGGAAGTGTGCCAGACAGCAGGTTTGCCAGGTGCAAGTGTACTGCACAGCACACCTGAACACACAGGCACCTTGGTCTTCTGATGACGAAACAACTCTAGTTCCTGCCAAAATCATGTCTTGTGGAATATCTCCTTTAAAAGTTCCTCTTTCTTCTTCCCCAAATTCTCTGTCTGGTATCTACTACGCAGAAGACTTCATCCCCAAAACCTTGATACCATCTAACATGCATTCACATGGCTAAATCTTAAGAGTCACCGGGAGGTATCCCAAAGGACTCACACCACCTCTCTGACCACAGCCTCAGGAGATCACAGAGGTAAAATCTCAGTAAAGTCAGTGGGTCCCAAAAAGCTCATCTCCTCCTTGGTGTCACTACAGAACCAAGTTGCCTTCTCCTTGCTCATCCTTCCTGGCCAGCAGCCGGGCTTGCTCCACATGCTGCTCCTGACAAAGCCCAGGCATGTGCCACAGTCAGCAGGTCCAGAAAGAGACCCCAAGGAATTCGTGTCACCTTACACCAGAAAAGGGAGATGTGACAGAAGGGACCAGGACAAGCCAAAGCAGGACATGGGACCTGGGACAACACAGCCAGCTCCAAAGGACACTCCCTACACTTTACAAAGCAGCACTCCTGAGCTGGGCACATACACAAGGGGGTGATTTATTAAATGGCTTCAGTCCCTGATCCCACATGCAAGCAAGCATTAAGTCACTGAAGTACAGCAGGACTTCAGGCAACTGCTAATGAGTAAATGGAGCAAATAAGCTAATTAGAAGAGTGACAGTCAAATGAGTGATGTTGGGAAGATGATTCATTCCTGCAGCGATAAGCAGGCCACAGCAGAGATACCACTTCAGGAACATGCCCCTTCTCACTGTGGGGTAGGACTTCCCTCAGAAGAGGCTGTGCTATGCCCAGCTGCAAACGTAGAAAGGCAGATGCCTCACAAAAACTTTTTTTGATGGTGATAAGCATCTGAATAAGTCCTGCATAAGTCCTGCACCATTTTTGATGGTGATAAGCATCTGAATAAGAGCTGCAGCTGCACCAAACACAACAATCAGTGTGAGCAGCACAAGTCTGCATTACAGAGACCTACACAGAAGGTCTCTTGGTCTGCAGGGAGATCAAAGGGTTTCCAGAGCTTCCCTTCTTCTAAGAGCATGTGTCTGGGTACCAGACTGTTCTTATGGCCAGTCCCACAACCTTACATCATCCTCACTCTTGATTCCTTCTTTGGACCAGTTGGATACCATGATGTGAAGAAAAGGCAAAAAACATGAACCATGGAGCTCGCCACCAGCTCTTCACAGAGCAGGTTGGGTCCTTGTGAGTTTGCTAACATCCCGCATGCAACTTCAAGGGTGAAACATCCCAACCAGTAATAACAGGGTCACTACGGGGGGGCAAGGGAAAACTCAGCCTGACCCTGTCATCCAGTGAAGCTCTGTTGCCCACGGGATACCCCCACTGCCAGTTACAGGAGGCTGGAGGCACTGGGGGAAGCGCAGAAGGGGCGAGGGTTGCAGATGGAGCCGCAGCAGGCAGTTACAGCCAGACATGTCCGACAGCGCAGTGCTGCTCTTACCTGCATGGGCCTGGAGAACATGTTGGTCAGCACTTCTTTCCTGGCTTCGGAGTATTTGTCAGCACCAAATGTTTCATTTAAGCTTCTCTGGATGAGAAAAGAGAGAGAGCATTCAGTGTTGGCAAGCTATGGTAGCAGGGGGACCCAGGCAGACCTTACAGGGGCAAACAGCAGCTCATCAAATCCAAATTCCTCCTTTCCCTGCAAATCTGCTTGTAAGCCAAAAACTGCACATGAAATTGGGCTTTGCTCTGGTCCCAGCAGCCCTGACAGTACTTATGAGCACTGACCCACCTCCTGGGGTCAACAGCAGGGAGCACTCCCTCCCCTTAGCCCATAACCCCTCTCCCAAACTGTGCCTAGCTCCCATCCAGCTACTGAGAGCTTCAGTGCACGGACTAATGGGACTCTGGGGAGATGTGGATATGGGAGGTCGGTGCCTGGGGCTAGTGGTGAGGAAGGGCTGGAGGGTTCAAAGTGCAGGAGAGGAGCTGAGTGTGCAGCCCCTCGTCTGCTGACATAGCCTCGGCACAGCCAGCAAGCGTGAAAAGCAGTCTCAGCTGATGGAGGGGTGTGTGGGAGGCCAGCGGGGATGGGATTAACAGAGGATTATCCACAGTCCAGTCGCAGCAAGTAAAGAAAATCCTGGAACCTGTGCTGTGCTGTTCAGCTGGAGTTCAGCCTCAGGACATGCTCAGCAGAGGATTGGTCAGATACCTCCCGTGCTGGCTGCGTCTGACCTTTCCCAGCACCACTCTCCAGTACTTCCCAATCACCCTGCTCCCTACCATGCCCTCTCTGAGACCTTCAGCAGCCCAGACAGAAACACCCACTCGTAGAGCTACTTTACCTGGGGTACAGAGCAAACGCACTGCCCAGGACCTGCTGAGAGAAGGCAGAGAAAGGAAATCTAGGTGTCCCAGCGAGTGCTCCTGCACTGAAACATCCTTCCCATTGCAGAGAGAGTAGTGTTGGGGTCACTTGTAAGGTCCTCCCTGCCCTGCTCTAAGCTCTGTGCACAACACGGCTGGCCAGGACAGGCTGGGCCACCCTTGCCCAGTGCTGGTGGGGTCAAGAGTGAGTGAGGGAGGTGTTTTGTTTTGGCATGGGATAGTTGTCAGCTCTGCTTGGGCAGAGGGGCACAGGGAATAAACCACACGCTGCCGCAAAAATGCCATCACGCAGCTGCCCACCCTTCTCCCTGTTTCTCGTCAGGCCAGTGCACTCACGTGCAGGGTCCCCGCGCTGCTGAAGTCGATGTCAAGGCCAACTTGGTTGCAAAACTCCATGAGGTCTTTCAGCAGCTTGGTTTGTGGTGGGGGGTGGCGGCGAAGCAGGGCCTGCTCAGGGAAGGAACGGTAGATCTGATGGGCCACGGCCATGTTCGCGAGCAGCATGAACTCTTCTACCAGCCTGCAGCACAAGAAAAACAACCCCGGGCCCCAGTTAGAGAGGGGAGTCCCCTGGGAAGCCAAGCCAGTCCATAGTGATGGGAACTAATACGACACAGGGGGACAGGGGAGCAGCTTGTAGTTGCTGTTATAAGCACAGATTAGATGTGAGACTGCAGCAAATCCCCCCCTAAATTCTCACTTTCTAGCTGAGGTTTCCCTGGGGACTCAGAGCAAGCTGTCCTGCTGGCATAGACAAGCAGAAGTCAATGATAAATTGACACCTTAAATTAGGATAAAATAATCTCCCTTTAGGTCACTTTATCTCCTGAAATGCTCGACAAGCAAAACAAACGCTGTGCGAGAGATAGCACGGAAAACAAACATACATTGCTGTCTTCCTGGGCCAGAGAAAACAGCGACTCACTCACTTCCCCATCCCAAGCTCAACATGTGTGGTCAAGCCCAGCCACGGAGCCCTGCCTCATGCCGGGCTTCCACCCAGAGCAAGACGAGCGTGGACCTCAGGCAGGGTAAGCCACCAGCGCCGCTTGCTGCGGGGCTGCCTTCTGCACCCAGGAGATGCAAGGACTCTGGGGGCTCCTCCATGCACCCTGCAGACTGCTGGGGGTATCCTAGGTTGGGGTGAGCCCCCCACCTTCCACCTCTGAATGTATATGCACTGAATGGAAACCTCCGGGGCTACACACTGCAAATAAAAGCAATCCCAGTGCTAGAGATCATCTTTGGAGCTTTTATGAGTTGTGCTACCAGCTGTAGGGCTGTGCCACAGGAGACTTGTTTAACTGGGCTTAGATAAGCAAAGAGACGGGCTTAGCTGGGCTTGCTGCGTGTATTCCCAGGGCTCCTAACTGGTGCTAATTGCCAAAAAAGATAATAGATTTACAGAAGTAACCTCATCCTCAGAGCAATGCCCGAGCGAGCTGTCACTGATTACGCTGGCTCAGCCTCGTTGCTCCCGCAGGCAAAGCAGCGATTTTGCAGGGCTGGCTGGGGGAGCCGGGCTGGAGCCGGTGGTCCTGCAGCTCCTGGCCGTGGCCATCGCTGGGGCACTGGCCAGGTGAGATGCGCAGGGTGCTGTGCTCCTGGGGTATTTGCTACAGCAGCGATACATTCCCAGCCTGGGAGTGATTGCCAAGAACTTGAAAGAGAAAGGAAATAAAAGACAAGCCCAGAGGAGGAATAAGCACCTGACGGTGATAACCACCAGTGGAAATGTTCATCTTTAATGGGAAGGAACTCCCTTCATATGAGCCTTGTGGATTCTCCCAGAGGGTGTTGTGCCAGAGGCCAACACTTCAGAGCCCGCAGGGAGGGCAGGAGGGACACCCACCCGCAGGGGCGGTGCGGGAAGGGGTGGGGAGCAGCACAGCCCAAGTGGGAGTGGGCTACCCACCCTGTCCCCTCAAACCCCTGCCCATGGGCAGATGCTACCAGAAGGCCAAGGGCTGGGTCATGGGGGTGGGCAATGTGCCTGCAGCCCGGCATGGGAGCAGGGTCCGTACCCACGGGTGAGGGGTGACTTCCAAGAGGTTGAGCCAAGCTCTTGCTGCTCCTGTGCAGCGAAGCCAGCAGATGGCAACATCGGTCCCTCTACGGCCACCGGCACCGGGGGGGGCTGCGGGACAGCCCGGCCCAAGGGCGCTGGGCACCCCGGCTGCGCAGCACCCAGGGGTGGGAGGCAGGGCAGCGCGGAGAAAAAAAACTGGCATTGCCATCCCCATCTCCGGGGTGTGGGTGGACACACCGGCTCTCGCCCAGCTGCCGTGCTTGTGGTGACCCAAGAACATGTGCGAGGCTGAGCCAGTCCATGCTCGTACCCGGGAAGCTCTTTCTGGCCAAGGCAGCTCGCAGCAAGGCACAGCAAACAGGGTGAAAGGCAGTGCCTCTCCTTCCTTCGGTGCAAAGAAAATGGGAGATGTTCCCAGCGCTACCCTCAGCTCCACCGATGTACACGTGGGCAAAGGTTGGCCATGGAGTCCCTGAGCCTCCCTCGAAATGTGGCCTCTACAGAGCGAGATGCAAACCCATTTTTAAAGACAAAGCAATAAACACCCGTGAACAGCATCCCTCTTTGTCACAGGCACAACGTGGTTATCTCAGGTCCTAGAGTTGAACGCTGCAAGCGAGTGCTGAAGCAGCCCCTGCTATTCTTGCTCCCACTGAGCACTGGAGTGCGAAGCCTTTACCTCTTACCTCCAGCAACACTTTGGGCTGGATGCAATTTCCACCTAATTATTAAGTTCTGCATTTTGCTGAACCATTTTGGGGCTTGGGCTTCCACATTTTCCTGGAGATATCCTTGTTCTGATGTTGTAGGCAGTACTGAATTGAAGCTCACACCTAAGCAGCCTCCTGCCAGGGATGCAGGAAAACTAACAGCACACACTTCCCACTGTGCTCTGCAAGATCTCATCCTCTCTCCCTTCAACATGTCCACACACGGAGCGCTAGCTCCCAGACAGCATCAAAGACAGCCCCCATCAAGAAGTACCCAGCACATGGCTGGTTTGACCACATGGGCAGGAAAACCTTATCAGGAAGCACCCAGCAGCTTTGCACCCATGACAGGGAGTGCAGGATGTGACCGCAGACATTCAGAATTGAAAAGCTACTTGTCCTGCTTGCTCACCCAAAGGCAGGGGCATGCTCTGGGAGATGCGGCTGCAGTTTGGGCTTTCAAGGAGCAGATAACATGGACAAGGTTGGACACTGCCCTGTATCTGGGCGGGACAGAAGCCCCAAGACCCGATGGGTCAGTTTTTATCAACTCAGGTTAAGGAACCACAGTGCCCTGGGAAGGCTGCAATGCCCCGTGGGTTGATGCCAAAACACCCTGCAGGGATGGAGGGTCCTTCCCAGCTCTGGGTCACCTGGGGGTCATAGAGCTGCTCCCCACACGCACCCCATTGCAGCAGCCCTGCAAGCATGAAAGGGATGAATGGTGTGGGGCTGCTCCATGCTAACTCCTAGAGAGATTTGTTTTAAACATCAGGGTTTAGTCCCCAGGGAGAAGAAAGCAGCTTCCAGAAGGGACAGGTCACAGCTGGGCTAATCTTGAACATGTGAGAACCGGCCAGGGTCAGAGGGAATGGGGTGGGGACAGTGAAGGAGCTGGCACCTCTGTCCAGAGTTAAGCCAGGTCACCTCTTCCAGCAGAGCAATGGGCTTACGCTGAGACTGCACGGGACACTGGAGACTCGGGAGGATGAACCAGGGCTGGGACAGGCCATGAAGCTGGCAAGGGTTCAGGTGCTGAGGAGTAGGAGGGCACAGCAAAGCTGTTGCCTTCCTGCCCTCCCCATGTGGCCTTTTAGTGGCACTTTTGGCTAGCGTCCTCATCAGGGCTTTGACTCGGCAAGCGCTATGCTGCGGCTTGGAAAAAAGCACTGGATGCTGAGGCAGGCAGGAGCAGAGGCTGGCTGGCAGTGGCTGGGGCCAGACCAGTGCCTGGCACTGGTATTACTGGGAGCCGTGCTGAAGCTCTGCTAACTTGTCGGCAGGTCAAACGACAAGAGGGTTTTTTCTTTTTTCTTAAAACAGTCTAGTTTGGAGTTTGGCTCAGTGTGGCTGGCAGACGGGAGTGCAAAGAAAAATATTTCATGGCTAAAAAAATGGAGACAGAAAGGCTGGTCCATCTGAACGCACGCTGAATGAATCCCATGTGAAATGCATTCTAACGCCATCGCTACAGTTTCCTCTGGATTAGCTGAGCTATCCTTGGCTCCAGGCTCCATAAAATCCCATAAACAATCTGATCTGAACTTTTGCCCTTTCTGTGTCGATGTGAGGTTTCCTCCGCTGTCCTGCGGAGAGGGCTGGGGGTTAGCAGGTGGCTGTCCCTCCCGTAGGTGCCTGCAGAGCCCGGCAGTCCTGCTCACCGGGGCTGCAGGAGGGAGCATTTCCAAACCTGTTCAATGCATCATTTAACATGTGCACATGGGAGAGGGAGAAGAGGGAGGGAACGAGCCGGCTTGTGAGCTCTGTAACATGTGTAAGCATCTTCTGCTGGCTCTTTCAAGACCCAGATTTTGCTTATGAGTTATGGGCTTGGTACAGGAATTGGTGGATGAAATTGTATAGCCTGCCTTATGCAAGAGGTCAGCTGGAGCGTATCGTTTTCAAAAGCACTCGCCTCTGAGTTTCAAACGTGATTGAGGCATGCCAGCTCCTAAATCCCACCGACTGCTGGGGAGATTTCAGGTTCCTGCGATGCTCTTAAACACCAGACTTGGTGCTTTTCAAAGTATCTTAAATGATGGTTAGGCTTCTGTAGGCAAACAGACACCTATGAAACCATCCTGCTGA